GTGTGTGTGTGTGTTAACAGTAAATTAAACCTTAAAAAAAAAAGAAGAAGAAGAAGAAGAATTAGACTTTACTAGGGTAGCGGTAACTTGCTGCCTGGAGCCTTAATCTCTGAATTCTGAGTTTCTGAAAAGATTTATTTTCTGGAAAGCACATTTGCAAGGGAAGTTTTGTGAAGCCTGAAAGCATCTGCTTGTCTGACGCTTTAAGGAGTAGGGAATAGCTGTGTTTATTACACCCATTTACAGGTGACTGGATTGAGGCACAGAAAGATTAATAACTTGCTCAAGGCTTACACTGCTAGTGAGTAGAAAGTAATAAGTAGAAATGCAGAGCCTGAACCCGGGCACCTTGGCCCCATTAAGTTATACTGCCTGTCTGCTTCTCATTTCTTCTGATACTGAGGCTCAGGAAAACTCTGGAAGCTACCAGAAGCACTTGGGTGAGGGACTGTTCATGAGCTCAGGCAGCTGGCTGAGGGAGGCCAGAGGAAGCTGGAATCCGGCCCCTGTTCTAAATTCTTCCTGGAGAAAGGGGCACCTCTTAGGGTTCCCACAAGTACCATGTGGACTGACAGCTCTCTTCTGATGGCTTTCCCTTCCACAGCTTTGATTTCCCAGAACTCTGCCCTTCCCCAAAAGGAAAAAGAGAGAAATGACCAAATTCCAGGTAAGTTGGTTTCGCCTTTCTGTTCCTTAAAATGACCTCTCCTTTCACAAAGTTTGGACGCATTTTCCCCCTCCTTGGGAAGGGTAAAAGCGAACCCAAGGCACTGGTGTAATTGTTGTATACCAGCCTCCTGCTTTTTGTTTATTGCCAAATAACAGCGTGAAAATGAATATTTAAAAAACTTGCACATTATCAACTGTTTACAAACGAACAGTTTTAATTGTCCCATATTCTTTCACATTTGTGTTTCCATGTCTAGATTTGTAATCCCAGTTTAAGTAGCAGTTTGGATTTTTAATATTTTATTTCTTTTAATGTGTATTTATTTAGAGAGAGAGAAAGTGTGTGAGTGATCAGGAGAGGGGCAGAGAGAGAGAAAGAGAGAGAATCCCAGGCAGGTCCGAGCTGTCCGTGTAGAGCCCGATGTGGGGCTCAGTCCCACGAACAGTGAGATCATAACCTGAGCTGAAATCAAGAGTCAGACTCTTTTTTTTTTTTTTTTTATTTCTAGGAGAGAGAGAGAGAGAGAGACAGCGTGAGCAGGGGAGGGTCAGAAAGAGAGAGAGAGGGAGTCACAGACTGAAACAGGCTCCAGGCTCCGAGCCGGCAGTCAGCACAGAGCCCGACGCGGGGCCGAACCCACGAACAGCAAGACCATGACCCAAGCGAAAGCCGGACGCCCAACTGACCAAGCCACCCAGGCGCCCCAAGAGTCAGACTCTTAACCCACTGAGCCACCCAGGTGCCCCCCACTTTGGGTTTTTAAAATGCAATTTTAACTACCATGTAAAGGGTCACATTATTTTCTGTAATTTACCTGATGTTTTGCCCCATTCTCCATATATATGTGGGTTTTACCATTTTAGAGATGTTTGCAATAAGTTTGCTTACATATAACTTTTCACCCCATGTAGAAATTCTGAGAAGTCATTTTTTTTTCTCTTTAAAGTTCTAGAGACTCGATTGTTTTCTCACATGTAGTGCTTCATACTTTGTGATAAGAATGTCTGCGGTATGGCTTGGTGCAGCAGAATCCACCGGAGACTGAACTCAGGAAATAATTTTAGTTGTTTTCAACAGAAAGAGCTGGATTCTGAGAGTGCCTGGCTGGCTCAGAGGGGTAGAGTGTGTGACTCTTGATCTTGAGGTTGTGAGTTCAAGCCCCACGTTGGGTGTAGAGCTTACTTAAAAATAAATAAATAAAATGAAATATTTTTCAAAAGCTAGATTTCTTTTTATTATTCTAAGTTAAACCATGTGTGTATTATAGTTAAATATTTGTTTTCTTCGTTGACATGTAAGTATGTTTTAAAGAAGTGTATGCTTATTTATTATTTATTTTTTTAATGTTTATTTCTGAAAGAGAGAGAGAGAGAGAGAGCGCCCATGAGGAGTGGGGGGTGGGGAGCCAGAGAAAGGGGGAAACACAGATCTGAACAGACTCCAGTCTCTGAGCTGTCAGCACAGACTCTGACGTGGGACTTGAACTTACAAACTGTGAGATCATGACATGAGTCAAAGTCAGATGCTTAACCGACTGAGCCACCCAGGTGCCCCCCAATACTTACTTTTAAAAATCTTTAAATAAATAAATAAAATTTTTAAAAATGAAATAAAAATCTTTAGCACTACAGATTTGGCAGGCAATAGCTGTGTGATGATATACTTGGTCTTCTCTGCATTTTAACATTAAGAAACAGGTTTATGAACCTTCAGATACCTCCTGAAATCTGCTCAGTGTCCAGCAGACACTAAAGTTCCCATTGCCTAAGCCGGGAGTTTCAGGTATCCACTTAGGGTAAATGGAAAGACCCAGAAGAAAAGAGACTTCTCTATTCGGGGACCTGAGGCCAGGCTACATGTGTGCTGGTAGGTCTGGTGGATGGGGGACCCCAAACATAACATTGTCTTCACCTGATTCCTTTTCTTAGTGGCTGTCTCTTCTATGTCAGATGTGTTGTCATTGTTTAGTATATAGATGCTCAAAACACTAGAGTTAATTTTTATTTCAGTGCAGAAAAAGTTATGACACAAATAGGAAACAGGAGTGGGGTGGGGAGTGAGTTTGGGAATTTATACTTGCTAGAAAAAAGGCATAATATTCTCAGTAGGAATTTTAAGGATTCATAAGATACTCCAGTAGGATTATGAACAAAGGAAATGAACAGGTAACATGTGAAAAAAATCAAAAGATGATCTTTTTTATTTTTAATTTATTTCTGAGACAGAGAGAGACAGCGTGAGCAGGGGAACGTCAGAGAGAAAGGGAGACACAGAATCTGAAACAGGCTCCAGGGCTCTCAGCTGGCTGTCAGCACAGAGCCCCATACGGGGCTCGAACCCACGAACCATGAGATCATGACCTGAGCCGAAGTCGGACGCCTCACCGACTGAGCTACCCAGGGGCCCCCAAAAGATGATCTTCTATTATTACTTGAGTGTAGTTGCCACACTATGTCTAAAAGACTGTGTTCTGGTTGTTTTGTTTTGTTTTAAGGTTTTATTTTTAAATGATCTCTTCATACATGGGGCTCAAACTCACAGCCCTGAGATCAAGAGTCACAGGCTCCACCAGCGGAGCCAGCCAGGTGCCCCCAGTTTGGACTGGAGTATAGAGAATCCGGGAGACTTGTAATCTCTTACAGGAAAAGTTAATTGGGAAAACTGCCATTATATAAAAAAATCAAGGTGCATATTTTTCAAGAGTGCAAATGCCACTTTCTGGTACTTATCCTAGGGAAATACCAAGACGGTTGAGATCTGTATAAAAATGCTTTCTGCAGCATTATTAATAATTCAAAAAATTAGCACACTGTTTAATTACGTGGAATCATTAAATATATTCTAGATCCCCACTTTCGTGGACTTTTCTCATTTGATCCCTTCAAGCTCCTTAGGATGTAGTTCTGTAACACAGATCAGGAAATTGAAGTACTGAGAAGTTAGGGGACCTGCCCAGCGTCACAAAGCCAGTAATGGACAGAGCAGGGGTGCCGAAGCCCTGTTAGATCGGCAGGCATTGATGAAAAAGCGGTACTGCTCAGTGAGAGACGGAGGTGGGCATGATTAAACACTGCTGGGACTCATTTGCTCAAATTTTTTCTTTTTTTTTCTTTTTTAAATGTTTTATTTATTTCTAGGAGAGAGAGAGGGAGACAGCATGAGCAGGGGAGGGTCAGAGAGAGAGGGAGTCACAGACTGAAGCAGGCTCCAGGCTCTGAGCTGGCAGTCAGCACAGAGCCTGACGCGGGGCTCGAACCCACAAACCGCGAGATCATGACCTAAGCGAAAGTCGGACGCTTAACTGACTAAGCCACCCAGGCTCCCCTGCTCAAATTTTTTTTTCTAAAATTCAGCGCTATCAGTCAAACCGTAAAATGTGTGTATGCTACGATTTGACAGTGACCGTTCTAGAGATGTAACTATATAAAGGGCACCGTGTTACCTATACGCAGGTGATTTGCTTTTTCTCCCCATTCCTTCCCCCTCCCCTGCGCGGCCCTAGCATTTTTGGTGTGGATGTGGAAGGGGAAGAAGAGAAACTGCTAAGGGTTGCTCGGTTCCCTCAGAATCGGGAACAGCTCCCCACTTATCTCCACCTCCTCCGCGCTGCCCCGCTCCCAGGGGCCATGGGGTGCGACATTGAGGTTACGGTGTGCTTGGTGTTGTAGGAGGCAGTGACGTTCAAGGACGTGGCCGTGGTCTTCACGGAGGAGGAGCTGGGGCTGCTGGACCCCAGCCAGAGGGAGCTGTACCGAGACGTGATGCTGGAGAACTTCCGGAACCTGCTCTCTCTGGGTGAGCACAAGACCTTTCTGTCGCTCATCCCCGCAAGCAGGATTTCTTAACCTTGCCGCTGTTGGCTTTTGGGGGCGGAGAATCCTTTGTCGTGAGGGCTGTCCTGTGCATACTAGGATGTTGGGTGACATCTCTTCCCTCCACCCACTAGTTTAAGGCTTCAGGGCCTAAGCGGTGCACCTTGAAGCATCAAGTTCAGCTGTTTACCGTGAGGAGTGTCCTGCTGGGAAGGACGTGTGGAAAACACATGGTGGTTAGAAACAGTTCATTTGCTCATTTATTTCAGTAATTTATGTTGCCGTTATAATGATCCCAAGTGTATTGCTCACTGCGGGTGGTGACAGAAAAGCGTTTGGAGCCGCTGCTGCGGGGGGCGGGCAGAGCCTCACATCCTCGGACGGGAGCGCGGAGTTTTCAATACTGTCGCCCTTCGTGTTTTCACTCGCATCTTCCCTTTTCACAGGGCATTCCTCCCCCAAACCAGATGTGATATCCCAGTTGGAGAGAGAGGAAAAGCTTTGCATGGAGGAGGTCCACACTCAGAGAGGTAGGCACTGGGGTAAGAACGGCGCGGCTCCGGTCCTGGAAGGCGACGGCCCCGTCCGTCTGCCCGCGTTCTGGGTTCTGGGTAATCTTCACGCGGCCGCCAGAGAGGTCCCTGGGAACCTCAGTCCCAGGGACGGCTTCTCCTCTTGCTCAGAGTAAAACCCAGCGTGTTCCAGGGGCCTGGAAGGTTCTGTGCTATGGGCTCGTTCCCCCTGCTTCACCATTCATTCTACATTTTTCTCCAGGCACGTCCCCCTCCCTCTGTCTGCCAGCCTCACGGCACAAATGTGCTTCTGCCTCAGGACCTTTTCCATTCTCTTCTCCGGCCGGAATGCTGCCAGCTTTGGACCGCTCTTGCTTTCTCACTCGCTCCTGTCTGTCCGAAGTCCTTTCATCCAAGGCCTTATCTGACCACCCCCTAAAATGCCATCTCCCAGCACTCTGCATGTCCCTGACTTGCCTTAACTTACATGTAAGCACTATACCGCCAGACTTATTAGCATGTAGGATTTTTACATTGTGGTGAAATACGCATAACATACAATTTATTTCGACCATCCTTAAGTGGGCCTTATGTACATCCACGCTGTTGTGCGACCATATGCGCTGTCTACCTCCAGAAGTTTCCATCATCCCACACCGAAAGCCCACACCGTACACAGTGCTCCCTGTTCTTCTCTTACCCCGCTTCCTGGCGACCACTGTTCTTCTTTCTCTCTCTATGGATTTGACTACTTCAGGACCTCGTGAAAGTGGAATCCTGAAACATTTGCGATTTCCATCTGGTTTGTTTCACTTAACGTATGTCTTCAAGGCTGATCGTGTTGTAGTGTATGTCAGGATTTCCTTCTTTTTTATGGCTGAATGGTGTCACATTGTATGTACGTATTACATTTTCTCATCCATTGTTGGACATTTGGGTACATACCATTTGGTTATTGTAAGAAATGCTGCTGTGAACATGGGTGTGCAAATATCTGTTCAAGTCCTTGCTTTCCATTTTTTGTGTATATACCCAGAATGGAAGTGTTGGATCGTATTGGTAATTTTATTTTATTTTTTCTTGAGGGGGGAAGGGAGAAAGAGCATGTGCAAGTGGGGGAGGGGCGCAGAGAGAGAGAAGGGGAGAGAGAATCTTAAGCAGGTTCCACACCCAGCATGGAGTCCAAGTGGGGCTCTGTCTCACGACCATGAGATCATGACCTGCGCTGAAATCCAGAGTCAGATGCTTATCTGACTAAGCCACCCAGGTGCCCCTGGTAATTCTATTTTTAACTTTGAGGAACTGCCATACCGTTTCTCACATTAGCTGCACTATTTTATGTTCCCACCAGCAAAACACCAGGATTCCAGTTTTCTTCATCCTCACTAACACTTGTGTTCTGTGGGTTTTTTTTTTCATTAATAATAGCCACCCTAATGGGTGCGAAGTGGTATCTTGTTTTGATTTGCAATTCTCTAATAATCAGTGATGTCCATCATCTTTTCACGTGCTTAGTAGCCATTTGTGTATCTTCTTTGGAGAAATGTCTGTGCAAGTCTTTTGTCCATTTTTGAGTCCAATTGTTTTTGAGTTTCAGGAGTTCTCTGTGTTCTGAATACTAATCCTGTATTAGCTATATGATTTGCAAATATTTTCTCATTTCATGTGTGGCTTTTTTACTCTATTGATAGTGTCTTTTGATGCACAAGACATCTGAGAGAGAGAGAGACATCATGAGCAGGAGAGGGTCAGAGAGAGAGAGGGAGACACAGAATCTGAAGCAGGCTCCAGGCTTTGAGCTGTCAGCACAGAGCCTGATGGCGGGGCTCAAACCCACGAAATATGAGATCATGACCTGAGCTGAAGTCGGACGCTTAACCGACTGAGCCACTCAGGTGCCCCAAATTTTCATGAAATTTTCAAATCTGTCTTTTCTTCATTGTGCCTTTGGTGTCCTAGCCAAGAAACCTTTGCCAAATCCAATATCACAAAGCTTTTGCTGCATGCTTTCTCCTAGGAGTTTTATAGTTTTTCTCCTGTGTTTCAATTTTTGATGCATTTTGAGGTAATTTGTGAATATGGTATAAGGAAAGGTTGATGTCATGCTTTTGCACGTAGATATCCAATATTTCCAGCACCATTTATTGAAAAGACTGTCCTTTTCCCATTGAATGGTCTTGGCACCCTTGTAAAAACCATTTGACCGTGTATGCAGTGGTTTATTTTTGGGCCTTGTAGACTATTCCCTTGGTCTGTATGTCTTTATGCCAGTACCACACTTTTTGACTACAGCAGCTTTATAGTAAGTTTTGAAATCAGGAAGTGACTATCTCCAACTTCTTTTCTTTTTTAAAGGTTGTTTTGGCTACTCAGGGTCCTTTGAGATTCCATGTGAATTTAGGATGGGTTTTTGTTTCTGTACTGTCAGGATTTTGATAGAGATTGCATTGAATCTGTAGATCTTTTGGCTACATAGCATAGATATCTTAATATTAAACCTTCCAATCCATGAACAAGGGCTATCTTTCCATTTTTTTGTTTTTAATTCATCAGTGTTTTGTAGTTTCAGTGTACATGTCGTTCACCTTCTTGGTTAATTCCCAAGTGTTTTATTCTTTTTGGTGCTATTGTATATGGAATTTTTTTTCTTTTAATTTATATCCAAGTTAGTTAGCATATAGTGCAATAATGATTTCAGAAGTAGAATCCAGAGATTCATCCCCTACACATAATACCCAGTGTTCATCCCAACAAGTGTCTCCTTAATGCCTCTTGCCCATTTAGCCCATCCCCCCCACCCACAACCCCTTCAGCAAACCTCAGTTTGTTTGTATTTAAGAGTCTCTGTTTTGTTCCCCTCCCTGTTTTTATATTATTTTTGTTTCCTGTCCCTGATGTTCATCTGTTTTGTATCTTAAGTTCCATATGAGTGAACTCATGACATTTGTCTTTCTGAGTGACTTATTTCGCTTACATAATACACTCTAGTTCCATCCACGTTGTTGCAAATGGCAAGACTTCATTCTTTTTGATCACCGAGTAATATTCCTGTGTGTGTGTGTGTGTGTGTGTATACACATATATACATATATACACATATATATGCATATATACACACATATATACATATATATGCATATATACACACATATATGCATATATACACACACACACATATATACATATATACACACCACATTTTCTTTATCCATTCATCTGTCAATGCATATTTGGGCTCTTTCCATACTTTGGCTATTGTCAATAGTGCTGCATTAAACGATGGGTTGCATGTACCCCTTTGAAACAGCATAACCGTACCTTTGGATAAATCCTAGTAGTGCAGTTGCTGGGTCATAGAGTAGTTATATTTTTCAGATTTTGAGGAACCTCCATACTGTTTTCTAGAGTGGCTCCACCAGTTTGCATTCCCACGGGCAGTACATACCCTTTCTCCGCATCCTCTCCAACATCTGTTGTTGCCTGAGCTGTTAATATTAGTCATTCTGAAAGGTGTGAGGTGGTATCTCATTGTGGTTTTGATTTGTATTTCTCTGATTTCCTTTTCTCATTATGTTTGTATATAGAAATGAACTGGTTTTTGTGTATGGCTTTGTATCGTGCTACTTTGCTGAATTCATTTATTTTAACAAAATTTATGTGGAGTCTTTTGGGCTTGCTTTTTTTTTTTTTTAATATTTTTATTTATTTCTAGGAGAGAGAGAGACAGCATGAGCAGGGGAGGGTCAGAGAGAGAGGGAGTCACAGACTCTGAAATAGGCTCCAGGCTCTGAGCTGGCAGTCAGCACAGAGCCCGACGCGAGGCACGAACCCACGAACCGCGAGATCATGACCTAAGCGAAAGTCGGACGCTTAACCAAATAAGCCACCCAGGTGCTCCTGGGCTTTCTACATATAAGATCATATCATCTATGAAAACAAATATTTTTACATCTTATTTTCCAATTTCCATTATCCACCCCACCCCCAACTCTCACAACCACAAATCTGATCTCTTTTTCTGTAAATTGGATATTTTTAGATTCCACACATAAATGAGATCACAGGATATTTGTCTTTCTGTGTCTCATTTATTCCACTTATATAATGCCCTCAGAGTCCATCCATGTTGTCACAAATGTTCTTTTTTATGGCTGAATCATATTCCTGTGTGTGTGTGTCACATTTTCGTTATCTGTTCGTATCTGTTCATGCCTTTTTTTTCTTGCCCAGTTTCTCAGGCTAAAACTTCAAGTACAGTGTTGAGTATTAAGAACAAAGGTAGGCATCCTTGCCTTATTCCCAGTATTGAAGGAGAAAAGCTTTCAGTCTTTTGTCATTGAGTCTGATATTTTGCTCTATGTTTTTCATTTAAGACTTTATTATGTTGAGGTAGTATCCCTTCATTCTTAGTTTGAGTTTTTTTAATCATGAAAGTATTTTTGAGTTTTGTTATATGTTTTTTCTACATCAACTGAAATGATTGTGTGGTTTTAATCCTTTATTCTGTTAATCTGGCATATCACATTGATTTTCGTGTGTTGAACCATCCTAGCATTCCAGGAATAAATCCCACTTGGTCATGTTGTAGTATCCTTTTCATAGACTACTGAATTTGGCTTGCTAGTATTTTTAGATCAGTGTTCATAGGGATATTTGTCTGTAGTTTCCTTTTTTACTGTGTCTCTGTCTGGCTTAAGTTTGGGCAGTACTGGCCTCACAGAATAAGTAAGGAAGAATTCTCACCTCTTTAGTATTTTGGAAGGATTTAAGAGAATTGGCGTTTTTCTTTAAATGCTTGGTAGAGTTTACCAGTTCAGTCTGGTTCAGGCTTTTCTTTGGTGGGAAGTTTTTGATTCAGTCTCTTGAGTAGTTATGTCTATTTAGGTTTCCTGTTTCTTCATGATTCAGTCTTAGTAGGTTTATGTTTCTAGGACTTTGTCCGTTTTATCTAGGTTCTCCAATTTATTGACATACAGTTGTTCATAGTGTTCTCTTATAATCTTCTTTGTTTCTCTGTC